TTTAAAAGTCTATAATTGTATTTCAATGCTAAAATTGAATATTTTCTAAATTAACAAAATTAAACTCGCGTAAAAGAAATATAAAATAAACCACAGATAAAAAGAAAAAAAGAGAGAGACCAATTTAATAACATCCACGGAGTTTATGCATTGGTTTACGTATAATATTGGTCCACTTTTCAATGTATTTTCTGATTTGTCCATTAACTGAATTTATGTTTCCGTCCAGAATAATGTTTTCTTTCAAAATCTCTGATCATTATTAAATCATGTCTGAATTATAAGGATAGTGATGCATTCCTACGCGTATAAATGTTATCTACAAACCCATGTGCAGCAACGTCAAACTGTGGACATTTTCCCGCATATGAATCAATTTTTTTTTGTTCTTTCACATGATAAACTAATATTGAGGTGCCTGTATATGAATATTTCAAAACTTAATAATGACTAAGACAACTTTAGAATTTTCTAACGTTAAAGAAATTCGAAGACAAGAATATTTTTCGTCAACGCTACTATTTAAGCGAGTTCTGATATTATTCCTTTAAATCAATACTTAATATTTATAAATAATATAAAACTATGACTTATTTTGTGGTATTAACTATTACGTCAACTCATCACATAAAATCTTTCAAAAATATATTAGATATTAATAGTTAATAAATAAATAAATAAGTAACACTTTGTATATCACATGCTCTTTTAAATTTGGTTTCCGTGATTAAGTAAATGATAAACATTATATAAATCAAGAATTTCAGTAGAAAAAAATAAAACTTTTGTAGATTATATATTTAATGTAATGATATGGTTTAAAAGCAAAAACTATTACATTGATCGATGCTAAAAGTAATAATAAGTACATTTTGTATATATATAAAACTATTGCATTTACATTATGCAAAACATATAACTACTAGAAAAGAATAGTGATAAAAATGGAAAGATTGAAAATAAAATTCGTTATATTCACACATGACCTTGATAATTTAAAAATTTATTGAAATGGCTGAAAAGTCAAAGGCAATCCCTGAAGTGTCCCTCTTATTCGTCGTCTTTGTCTCCTAAAAGAACTAAAAGGAAGGGATGGATGAGATTTATGACATTAAACAATAAACATAACAACCTTCTATTCTAGAAGCAAAATAGGGTCCGTACTGTTTGGCCATTTAAGTAACAATATAATTTCACATTTAAAGATCTTAATAAGCTTTTTAAGAAATTATTTATACGAACTGATATATATGAATAAAATTGAGGGTGCTTCATTCGTCTCGCAATAGAGAAGTTGTTTTCGGCTTAATGAATCAGTCTTACAAACATTTATGACAGGATTATTCATATTTTAAAGATTTTATAAATTATGATTTGCTTAAAGATTATTAGTACAGTAATTAACAGTAATTGTGTGGTTGGTTTAGTTGTGTGAAAAGAAGAGAGTGGAAGTTGTGGTGCATTTATTGAGTAATGTATCGATAAATGGTGTCACCTCCTTTGTTGTTGGGTAGCATTGAATTAATTGGTATAACTTAACTTGTCCCTTCGATGGTTGCAACTACAACAACACTGCCTAATTAATAATGCCCTCACTCACTCACCCTCTCTTCTCTTCTCTTCTCTTCTTCTCTTTCTCCCCTTTCGGTGCCACTTAGTTTGGTGCCGGAATCAGTCAAACATATATACTCATATCATTCCTAATATCTATTATATCAAATATATTATATATATATATATATATATATATATATATATATATACTGTGTTATTTAACAAAATCAATCTTCAACTACAGAGTATATCATACCTTTCTTTCTTCCCTGTACGAGTTACACATAACTTTATTCTATTTTATATGTATTTTTAAATATATATATATATATATATATATATATATATATATATATATATATATATATATATATATATGAAAATGGGTCTGGTGCAGCTACCTACCAGATACGTTGTTGAGACCTGAAAGGAACTGCTTTTACTATATTTTGTTGGTAGATGATGATATATGCTTCCAATGCATGCAATTTATTAATGTACGAGTTTGGTTGAATATAATCCATGAATACAAAGATCAATTCATGCAATGGAACTGCCCAACTTAACTCAATAGCTTGTTTATGATTTTGTGGTTGAGACTAAGCTGGGAGATTCCCATTGGAAAAAGTCTTCTGTAACTGTTAGATATGATGGATTAAATAATAATGACCACAATTATCTTTTTTCTTCTCAAATTTTCACTTCTTTTACTTTTCTATTCTTCTCTCTCTTTCATCACTTTTTCTCTTCTCCTTTCCGATGCATCACCTTCACGGTAGTTAGTATCGTTTTACAATCTCGACGGTGGCGATATTCTTCTTCTTCCACCTCAATCAGACATGACTTTGTTCATCTTTACATCAATTTAGAATCTTTCACCTTTACAACAAGCTTATCTCACTTTTTTTACTAGGTGAGACAATCAAGAAAAATCAAAATAATCATAATGCATATAAGAGTTTATATGATTAAATAAGTTTTATCAAATAATACTGATATAGTTTAAAGAGCATAACAGTAGTAGCTTAAATTGAGGAGACTATGCATGAGTTTAAATCGAGAACATGATTATGAAGTGAATCACAGTGTATGGATTTAAAATTAATAGCCCTTTGCTACATACATGAACATATATTCCTCATCACATTGCTTATCACATTGAACATATATTCTTGAATATATTTTTCTTAAGAGTATAATTTCTTTATCATTTTTCATATTTATTTACAATTAAAACTAATAATAGTATATTAAATATACTAAATTATTTTATAAAAGTTATAAATTAATATTTTTGCAACATTAAATACATTTGTATGTATTATTTTATTGTAATAATTTTAAGAAATCATTTGTTTGCGCTTAAAGGAGTTTTTTTTTTTTTTAAAGGACAACTAATATAATTTGAAGTTTTTGTTGATTTTCTATGCCAAAACATATTTCATGGGAACATATTATTTATGGGTTGAGGATTCCCGACAGAGATCATCTTGAAAATTGTGTCCCTTAACCTTGGACTTAAAACCTTTGCTCTTTAGATATGTCTCTTAGACTGTTCCACCTTTGCATGGAAAACTCTTCTTATTCTTAGTTTTGAGTGAAACAAAGCACGTTATACCTTTGTTAAAACTTTTGGTTGCATGAAAAAGAGATTTTTCTTCAGTTGATATTGCTGCCTAACAAAAATATTAACTCTCTTTGTCTTGAAATTGATGAAGAAATTGTGGGATATTGCTTTACTAGTTCATAGTACCTTCTGAAAGGCTACTTTGGGCATTAACAAAATAATATTCCATAGTCATCTTCATTAATTGTCTCCTAAGTAATGAATGATGCTTGACGAAAAATAACACATAATTTATTAAAGTCAGTTGAAAGTTGGAATTATACTTTACAATAAGTTATTATTAAAATTATTTTGTTTTTCTACTCACGTGAATTCTTCACGTAAAATTCTCGAATTATATATAGGATTTGTTATATGCATTTCACAACTCCATCTTATCTCTGGATCATTCGCATGACACGTATCATATTTAAGATTGATTGGTTGGTATTTAACCTTTTGATTGATGTTTATAAAAGAAATTATACCATTTTCAACTGTTTCTTAATTTTTGTTAATAATTTACTAGCTTGATAAAAATTATTTTCAAAAATTCTTGTATAAATTCACGAAATGGAGAAAATTAAACAAAGGATAGATTTTTAATTATTAAAAAAGTAAGCATTTTTTACAAAATATAAGACCAGAATTGACCCAACCAAAAAAATGTTGAATGTTCGTCCATATTCATAGAACCGTGCTGTTGTCTAAGCAATTATGGTTTCCAACAACTTCATACACCCCGCGCAGGGATTCATGTAGATCATCTACGATTTACGCTCTCTCTATTTTTTTATATATATATATATATATATATATATATATATATATATATATATATATATATATATATTTAACACCAACACTATACGACACATATTACTTTACAATGGACTCACCATTTTCATAAAAGTAGTGACTAGAATGAGACAGAGTTATCCTAAAAAAAATCAAAATTTTGTGCCGTTGCTTTAGATTTTTTATGCCAATCCCTAAAAACTTTACTTCAAAGAATCCACTGTCTTAACTTGATTATATTAATTTTTCTAATAGTTATAATAATCAATAAATTTTATTATACATAATAATTTGTAATAACATAAAACTACTTTCCCTCAATCATATTTCCTTGTCAAATTGTGATATGTACTACTGTGTACAGTGTAACCAATTAAGTGAACTCTGCGAATTTAAGACATTTTCGTATGAATATAACGTTTCGGATTTAAGATACTTTCGATGCACTTTCACTGATTCATCATGTTTTGCTACCCTTTGGTAGGTATACAAGCCCTTTTGTATTTTTTTTTTTAATTTAATAATAATTTTGGTTATGTCATTTTTTCAAGACCATTTAAAGAAAAGATGTGTTCAGGGAATTTTATAAAGATCTCATAATATGTTTATTTTATGTATACTTTTTGCTACTCACATGAATTCATATCTTCTTTGATCAATGATTATTGTAAAAAATAAATTATTTGCACCGGTTTCCTACTTATTAGTGAAATAATGCAAACAACAAGAGTAAAGTGAGTTTTTTATATAATTATTCACAAAAAATTAACTATGTATTTTTATTTTCCCAAAAATAGAAACTTAAATTTAACGAATAACACGTATATTTTAACCCACTAAAAATCTTTGAATGCTCGTCCCATCCATAGAACCGTGTTCTTGTCTAAGCAATTATGGTTCCCAACAACTTCTTCACCCAAACACCAAAAGATCAAAGTTCAATTAATAGTCGTAACCAATATTTATTTTGTCACAAGGTCACTTCCCTACCACACTCCAAAGTCACCCTACGCAACACACACACACACACAGAACACACATAATGGAAGGGCATGGAAGAAGAATAACGAGAGTACCACTATGCTGCCACATTCTGCTTCTTCATTTACTCTCCCAACTGGGAGAAACCGTCGCCAAGGTGCCGGCGGTGATCGTCTTCGGCGACTCCTCCGTGGACGCCGGCAACAACAACTTCATCCCCACCATTGCACGGAGCAATTTCCAGCCATATGGGCGTGACTTTTTGGGTGGAAAAGCCACTGGAAGGTTTTGCAACGGAAGAATACCAACGGATTTTATTTCTGAGGCTTTTGGGGTAAAACCTTACGTGCCAGCGTACTTGGATCCAAAGTATAATATTTCAGATTTTGCAAGTGGGGTCACTTTTGCTTCCGCAGCAACTGGTTATGATAATGCAACTTCAGATGTTCTGGTAATTCATGTCTCTTTCAACCTATATGTAGTCCAAGTGCTTTCTATGCTTTTCAACCATATCTTTCTTTCATTCTTTCTTTCTAGGCCATTCTGTTCTCTTGGTTGTTTTCTCAAAATTTCTCTGGAATGATAGTGATTTTCACACACCCCATTTTCCTTTATCTTTATTCATGCTATTTCGTCATATCACATCTATTATTATTATTTTTTAATGTTTGAATAGCTAATACTTTTGAGTTTTTCATTCATATTTTAAAAGAAACATGATCTCTTCTATTACTATAGATCTCTATTTAGAAATTAGTATTTTTTTTTCACTAACTGAAAAAAATATGGACATATAATTTTCTTTTTGAAGAGACATATAATTATACTACAATTTCGACCGTTACAATTATACTTTCTTCTCTCAAATACACTCTCCATAATTTAGATAAGCTAAATCTATCCCTTATTTCCTTTTTAGCTGGCTATTATGTTTTAATAAATTAATTTATCCATATTATGCTCACTTTAACTTAATTTTAGTGAAATAATTCTTTATATTTTCGAATATTTTTTAAAAACATGATATTTTTTAATAAGTTAAAGAACTAAATATAATATAATTATTTTAAAATTACGAACTAAAAATATGAAGAAAACAACTATGACTATTAAAATATGCATATTATCTTAGAAAAATATTAAGCAAATACGTAGATTAAAAAAATTAAGATCTTAAGAATGGTGTGGGTAACTAATATGAAATGTTTAAATTAAAATTTGAAAATTATCTCTAGTTTATTTTCTTTAAGGAAAATTATTTTAAAAAATAATGCCACTTTATAAATTATTCTGATATGCACTTTTTTTCTGAACCTTTCACTCCTACTACTTCTTTCCCTCTCCTCTGTTTCTCTTCTCTCTACACAATTAGGAAGAAGTAAAAATAATAATAATAACCTTTTTCTTTTTTACTATTTTGAAATTAAAAGTATAAACTTCTGAGTCATTTGTCCAACATATACTTATTGCAAATCATAATATTCGTTGCAGTCTGTGATACCACTATGGAAGCAATTAGAGTACTACAAGGGATACCAAAAGAATTTGAGTGCCTATCTTGGTGAAAGCAAGGCGAAAGAGACCATAACTGAAGCATTACACCTTATGAGTCTTGGCACAAATGACTTCCTTGAGAACTACTACACCATGCCTGGTAGAGCATCTCAATTCACACCCGAACAGTACCAAACTTTTCTTGCTGGAATAGCTGAGAACTTCATAAGGAGCCTCTATGACCTTGGTGCTAGGAAGATATCCCTTGGAGGGTTACCTCCCATGGGATGTTTGCCACTAGAAAGAACCACAAATATTGCTGGTGGAAATGATTGTGTTGCCAGATTCAATAACATAGCATTGGAGTTCAATGATAAGCTCAAGAATTTGACCATTAAGCTCAGCCATGAACTCCCTGGAATCAAATTGGTGTTTTCCAATCCGTATTACATTATGTTGAGCATCATAAAAAAACCTGAACTTTATGGTATGTCACCTCAAAGCATGCATACTTGTTTCAGATAATATTATCCCCTTTCTCCCTTTCTGTTCTTCCCTTTTTTTAATTATTTTTATTTTTTTTAACTAAAATTATCCATGACTGAGAAGTCACACCTATTACAATGTTTTATATAAAATAATTTTGATGCACAATAATTCATTCAATTGAATTTCTTCTGCAGGGTTTGAATCAACCTCAGTGGCATGTTGTGCTACTGGAATGTTCGAGATGGGTTATGCATGCAGCAGGGGCCAAATGTTCAGTTGCACTGATGCTACCAAATATGTGTTTTGGGACTCTTTCCATCCAACTGAGAAGACAAATAGTATCGTTGCAAAGTACGTGGTGCTGCGCGTTTTATATCAATTTTTACAATAAATAACTTCTAGTGGAATTTTATTTATGTAATGCTACCTCTTCATGTTTGCACATTCGCCATAAACTCCCATTTGGCCTTCCTATGAATGACTGCATGTCGATGTGTACATATATAAATATGTCAGTACAGCACATGCATCATATAATGTGCTGATAATTAGAAATAAGTCTTTAGTTTTTGAACAACATATATAGTATTTATACTTTTAAGGCACTTTATATTTGGTGTCCTATATATCATGTCCTATTATGTTGGGTCTATAGTTTGTAATATCAATCCATGGTTTGGAAAATATTATACTCCCGAAATAGAGATTTTCCTGTTTTTTCTTTCGTTGGAATTATTTATGGGCAAAATCAAATTCATCCGAACTTGGATTCACAAATGCTAATCATATTAATCTTGGTGGATAACATGAAATTTACTCTTTACTAATTAATAGCATCTTAATTAGACATCATTTCTAGGACATCTATCGATTTTGAAAGGCAAATGTTCTTTAAAAACCAAAACGGTGCATGAACATTTCCTCAAAGTCACAGTTACCTATGGTTGTCAAATTTATTATGTATATCACACAACTTTTGACTTCTGAGAAATTACATTAGTTCAACCAATACCAAATCATGCAACTATAAAAGCCAATTTTTGCGCTTTCAGAACAAAACTGAATAGCAAACTGCCAGCTAGCAATGCTGCATCAAGTTGCTTAAATTGTGATGGTTAATATACATGATTAAAAACTCATTTAGTTTACCCATCACCCATGACTAACAAATTTGGTTCATAATTTGAATATAGTTATATTTTGGTGTGTGTAACCCTTGCCTGAACTAACCATCTATCTCTCTCTTGTAAAAAAAAAGGAATGAAAATGTTGTAATTAGATATTTAAGTGTTAAGATAATGGACTTAAGTTATATTGCACAAATAAATCTTTAATATTCAAATATGACCTTTTTCCAATCAATGTATTTCATATATGTATTAATATGTACATCAACCCAACCACTTTATGTTTCATAAGATATCTGTTTCTCGTTTCCTCAATTAATAGTATAATGTCTTGTAAGTTCCTATATAATTCAGAAGTCTATAATTGATACAAAGGGAATAATCTCAATACTTACTTCTATCAATGACAGGAAGCAAAGGTATGTATGCATATGATTTATAGTTTTACCTGTTAAACTACACCAAAATATTCCAACTATTACAAAGTACAAAAATTATATTAGGCCTAGAGGATAAAGGAAAAAAAAAACACAAAATGACATACCTAGAGGCAGAATGCAAAGCACGCTCTACAAAACAAACAAATCAATTAAAATGACAATAAAGAGAATAATACCTTATGAATGAGTCAATTCAATTTTTGGCAGCATATACTTCATGCAGTAAAACCATTGAAGGTAAGAAAGAGATGATTAAGCAAAATGGCTTGGGTCGGCCCCTGGCGAGCAAGGGTTTCTGGCTAACTTGCTACATCACACTTCAGACCAAAGGAAATGATTCCGTAAGAAGAAATCATGTCATTTTTATTGTATACAGAACAGAACAAGAAACAGCGTTTGATGATTAAAAGATTCAGCCTATTACTCAACTGTGAATATCATAGATCCATACACATTAATATAGAAGGTTGCATTATCTTAAGAAGAAATTTTCTATTAACATTTCAGTAACAAGATACTTTCCTTCCACTATTCCGTATTTTGTTGTTGTTGACTTCATCATATATTAAGTTTTTTTTCCCCATTTATTAGCACTGGAATATGATACTTTTGATTGATACCCATAAAGTAACATTTGGTAAAGGAACTTTTTCATTACAAACTAAACTATGTTCCTTCAAATTTCAGATCCAGAAATCTTATTCCTAGAAAAAAATTATAAAATGAGTTTGGTTATTATTTAACTTTCAAAGAATAAAATGTTTACTATCACTTACCAAGGAAAATTTTTGTAACTTTTACTGTCAATAACTACAGTCAAGTTTTATTCTCAGTTATTCACATATTAGCATCCCACTGAATCTTATATACACAGGAAATATGGTTATTCTGTTATATTCTACTAAATATGGGAAACTTTTATTCCTAAGCCACATTTCCAGCTATGATAAAACACTCTTTGTAGAAACGCCACATAAAGAAACGGCAAAGAAGCCTTCTTTGAAGGAGCACACCTCAATTACCAAAACATTATAGTTAATACAACAGTTTCAGTTGTCCTGACTAGATTAACAGACATCTACTGTAAATGGTTGCCTTCTTCACTGAGATTCATTTAATGTTTATCAATTGTCCAAAATAAAAGGAAATAGCTAAAACAAAGTCATGTGGGGGAAAAATTAAGCAGACACACCCGGGTAATAGTTGTATGACCTCAGTCTAAACAGACGTCAAAGAAAAAAAGAAAGCGAAGACAAAATAAAAGATGAATCAATAATTAAACAGAGTTTTATTGTGAAAGAAAAATAGCTTTCAAAGACATTTCCTATCTCAACAGAAAAAAGGTTTTTTCGCTAATCGGTGTTAGTAATGCATATATTAAGATAAATAGACACTTGAAAAATCTTAAAGGAAAAGTTGGTTCTCATCTTCTAGTAATGCCTTCTTTAGACCTTCCCAGAAGATTCGACCTTCAGGATGTACATTCACAAAGTATTTTATAAACTTTTCATCAGAGGATGCAAGGATAGTGCTCAAGGCCATCATAGGCTTTGCTGCATTCCTTTCCGCCACCCACTTATACATTGAAAATCTGAGCATGATTCTCTCTAAATCATAGCACAAGTATGCTGGAAATGCCACGACGCAATCTAAAGGGTAACCTAAAATGTTTCTTAAGAAATCAATCTTCTTTTGAATCACAATTTTGTTCTGGTTTAGAATCATAGGTGCACATTTTATCATTTTGATTGCAATGTTAAAGTCCAAACCAGCTTCAACCAGGCAATCAAACCTCTCTTGTAATTGATCACCTCTCCCCCGGAATCGTCTAATTGCTTTTGCCATCTCCTCGGAGTTCTCAACATATCCCAACTTCTGCAAGAATGCTGTTTTCCCCAAATGTTTACATGGGTCATCAGTCAATAACTGTAAATTAGTATTCTGTGTGAGTTTTGAAGCCAAACTAATTAGCTTCAGTGGATCATCCTTTATGATTTGGCATAAATCAGTTTTTCTAATTTTTAACTGCAAACAAACAGCTTTAGGACCTTTCAAGGGATGTGAGCTCAGGAGTTGCATGTGGTTGGACAAAATGCACGAAATGTCATCCATATTCATTCCAACATAATGCAAAAAACCAATCACTCCCAAAAGATTTTTTGCACACTTATTAGGCAAGACATGGGGATATTCTACAAAACAAGAACAAATCACATTCTTATTGAGACCTAACTTAAGTGCTAGACCCAAAAATACATACACCTTCTTCTCAAGACCTTCTAGTAATAATGCAGGGTTTTCCTTGAAGAAATTGTGCATCTGCTCTTCAGAATAGCCCATTTTATGAAGAAATTGCATAGCATCAAGCATTCTTCTTGTATCATATGTTTTCAAACAAGACAAGTAATTCCCAATCCAATCATGCCCAATACCAATTTTCTTCAACCAATCCAGAACCATGGCCAATTCAATGCTTGTTTCACCAACCAAAAGTGAAGGGCAACAAACAACAAGTTTGATGACCATGGATCTACACAAACCCATATTTTCATAAACTCGAAATTTCGACAACAACAATCCACTAGAATACCCAAAAACCTCTTTTGCCTCTCGATAAATTTTCCCTACCCTATTCCTTGGAACTCCATAATTACTCAAAGCATGGAAATTGGCAAGCAAAACATGATTATCAGACAAAAAGATCAAACCACGTGGGAGAAACAAAGGCAACTCGCGAGAGCTAATCCCCAAACTCTCAAAGAATGGTTCAAACTCATTAATGGGATTGTACCGTAGGAATTTCCTCAAACACGTGGCTACATCATCCTCATGCCCATGAAACTTTGTCACCAAACCTTGAACAAAAGATGGTGAGTTTTTGCTAATGAACTCAGCATCCATGAAGTTGTATCCCCTCCATGAATGCAAGTAATCTAACAGCACATCCTGCACGTTCCGCTTTACCCGCCGAGATAACCGTTTCACGGAAAAGTGCGAGAGAACATGTGTAGATGTAGAACTAGGAAAGCTTGGAACTTTGGGAGAAAGGGAAAATGGGTTTTGTGTTGTTAGGGGTTTTTTATACGAACTATGGAAGACGAGAAAGGGGTGGTTTTGATTGTGGTGGAAAATCATTTGGAAGAATAACCTTTTGCTCATTAGGGATGAGTGCATTTTACTAAGGGCACTTGTTTGAAGCATCAGAATGGGAAACGAAGAAGGGTAAGGAAAACCATTGTGCAAAGACAATTAACTTTCCTTTATGCTGTATGTTAAAATTGATTTTACTTTAACTCTACCTAATGTTTTGAGAGGATGATTTCATACATAATTAGTATATCTTTTATATGGTAATTAGTTAAAAATATTCTAAATATAATCTTTAATAATTATCATAAATGTCAATATCTTTATTATTTAATAATAAATATAAATAAATTATGATTGAATAATAATAATATAAAGAGGTCTTTATATTACTAATTAAATTCACAGTAATAATAACAATCAATATTTTTTTTAAATTATATTGTATTTTTATCATTTTTTAAAATTATATTTTTCATGAAAATAAAAGTAAGTTAGGTTTTTTTCACTTTAAAAACAACACATTTTTTTCACAATTAATTTAATTATAAATAAAAATTATTAGTGGCGATAGGCGTAAATAAATCATTTTAGTGTACTTTCTTATTAAGTAGTTAGTATTGGATATTCTATTGTTGATTTTAAGAAATTAAAAGATGAAAAAAAAATTAAAATTAGCAATAAAAGTGAATTTTCTTTTCATCATTTTTCCACTTCTGCACAAACCTTTATTTACAAACATAACATAAATAATATTTTCGTCATATATAAATAAAAGCTTAGGTAATAAGATGACAAATCAACAGTCTATTAATCTATCTTAAATTGATTAAATAAGTTAATAATTTTAACTGTTAATTTGTCTTATTTCATCTAATTTATCAACTGATAAATCAAACGTGATAAGATGGATTAACTCGATTATTATTTTTAAAATATATTATAAAATATAATAATTTTATCCATTTATTTAATAATATTAATTAATCAATAAAATCATAAAAATATCCCACATCCATCGCCTATGTAAGACAGACACTGTCCCCAAAACACCAGCGCATGATCTCCATGAGCCTTCCTATGCCATTAAGTCAGTACAATATTAGCTTCCATTCCATAACTTCAATTCCATTTTTCTGATTTTTTTTCATCCAAGCTGGTTTAAGTGCAAGTTGACAACTAGACACCGAACTAGAAAACCAAGAAAGCCAGCCAACATTAGAGCCATACTCATGCTTGAGCAACTTCGAAAACTATTGTAAAATTCTTAAGTTTCACATTAACTAAAAATAGTTTTATTTATGATATCCTTCTTATTGTTCATTGAACTTCAATGTCGACATTGGCAGTTTTTGTAAATATATTCCTGCTGGTTCAAACCTGAGAGCACCAGTACTTACTTCTTGTTAACCAAATATTATGATTTGCTGAAGCTTTCTCCATCGCGTTGACACAGCTTTCAAGGATTTCCATATCAGGCTTCCGGGTCGGGTTTTCTTATTCATAATATTCAAAATTGCTTCTTGTGGCATTGACAGGTTGACTATCCGATGCTTTGTAGAGACATGCTACCTGTGCACTTGTTTATAATATCTTGAACTATTTCATTCAGCAGCTGTGACTGTTACCTGAACATATCTTGCTTTCTTCATCAGATAGAGAATCCATAGAAACTTGCTCAACAACTTTGCTTTAACTTTGGTGCCGGGCAAGGCCTACTCATTTGACAGAAACATGTCCTCAAAATTGAAAATTCCAGCTCCAGAAATAAAACCTTCTGTACCACTTGCATCATCTCCAAGTTTACATTCAGATTAAAATTCTTTAGGCCTTATTACAACTTCAGCTGCATTTTTCCCATCAAGGACAGGATGTGTATTTACAACCAAGATGGAATAATTCTTTTCAATATATTCCCATGACCAGGTGGTAATGGTAAAGCAAAGTATCAGCTGGACTACGGAATTGCAGCATTTAGGTCTCCAAATTCCAAAACAGCTTCCACAGCTGGCAAACATGAAGTCTCAGACAAATATTCTGCCAACGTTTCATGACATTCACAATTGGTTCCACGTAGGGTGGTGATAGAAACTAGTTTAGAGAGTCATACAAATTGTTTTCACCGTCAGATATTATAGGCAAATACGATGGTTTAGTTCCAAATGGTTCACTTGGGATTCCAATTGCTTCCCCTATTGATATGGGCTCTTTTCTTCCTTGGATTGCAACAAAAACAAACCATATCTTCCAGCATAAATAATAGAATTTTGGACCCGATAAGCCATCAAAATCATCAACAAGCCTTAAAAAATTGAATGAAACTTGAGTTCAAGGGAATCATTATGCCAGAAATCCAATTAGAATATATAAAAGTGTATAGAGCATTCTCTGTGTCTGCATACATATAATATGGAATATTTTACATCAGGTTTAGAAGCAAATGATGTGAAAAGGGAATTCCATTAAATAGCTCAAAAACCATTTTAAAAAGCCTTGACGGTTAAAGCAAAGCATGTTATATAAAACATTCGAATCAATTAAGACAATAATAAGAGATTATAAGTAAACTACTTATATTTAGAAAATCAAAATTATGACAGAACATGACAACATAAGTAAAATATGAACAACGCATAGCATATATATCACATAAGCCATTTTTTTTTTCAGGATAATAATTTTGACCAGAATTGTAGTCAAAACAGTGAATACAATTATGTAAATTTCAGCAGCAGATAACTAATACAGATTCAATCAGTAAAAGTGTTGATTGCTTGCAGGATACCCATTTGATTAAGTTAAGAAACAATAAAAAGAGGGGTGAGAAGAAAATAGGGCAAACAATGTGGGAAAACATAGGAGGATTTGGGTAGAAATGGTTGCAGAAGAAGTAAATAGAACAAAAAGGCCAAAAGAAGATGAAGAAAAATGGCAAGTGTATGCCCCTGTTTACTTTTCAAACAGAAGGAAGAGAGGGCAGAAAATATTAATGTTTATGTAACTAAGATATTTCTTCAAAATAGTATTAAAGCAACATAATAATAGACAGCAATATTATCAACAATCGAAATTTTAGCATGCAGAAAATAGATGGGCATTTTCTATATTTAAAAACAAAACATGCAAGGGATTCCATTCCAGGTATAAAGAACGAGCAAAGCATACATTAAGATCAATAGACATCTTAGCAAAACAAAACTTGGATACATTACAAGGAGCTATTAGTTCTTATCTTTATTAGATAACCTTTTTAAACCCTTCCAGACGGCTGGACCTTGAGGGTGCACATTCACAAAGTACTTTACAAAGCGTTTATCATTGGATGCAACTATGGTACTCAAGGTTAACGTAGGGTTTATTGCATTCCTCTCCTTCAGCCATGCATACATTGAAAGCCTTTCAACAATTTTGTCCAAATCATGGCAAAAGTATGTTGGGAATCCCACGAGACATTCTAGTGGGTAATCTAAAACATTTCTTAAGAAATCAATCTTCCTTTTAATTATAGCTTTGTTCTGGCTTAGAATCATAGGAGCTCGTTTTATCATTTCGATCACACTATTATAGTCCAACCCCGCTTCTACCAGGCAATCAAACCTCTCTTGTAATTGATCACCTCTCCCTCGGAACATTTTTAATGCTCTTGCCATCTCTTCAGAGTTCTCAGTATATCCCAATTTCAGCAAGAAAGTTGTTTTTTTCAAATAATTTCGTGGGTCGTGACTATCTACCTTTCCATCGCCCTTTTTTTCCTGCTTTGATGCGAAGCTAATTAGCTTCAATGGATCATCCTGTATGATTTGGCACAAATCAGCTTTTCCAACTTTTAACTCCTGACAAACGGTTTTATGACCTTTCAAGGAACTTGTACTCAAGAGATGCAAGTACTTAGAGAAAATATGAGTAATGTCATCTTTTCCCATTCCAATAGCACACAAAAAGCAAATCACGCTCAACATATTTTTCGCACACTTATATGACAAGATATTGGGATAGTCCACTAAATAAGAATAAATCACATGCATCTCAACGCCAACTTTAACCAATCGACCAAAAAATAAGTACACCTTCTTCCCAATACCTTCCAGCAACAGCTTAGGATTTCCCCTAAACAAATTGTTGATTCCTTCCTCAGAATAACCCACTTTATGAAGAAACTGCAAGGTATCAAGCATTCTTTTCCAACTATATGTCCTTGAACAAGACAAGTAATTCACCAGCCACTCACTTTCAATCCCAATTCTCTTCAACCAATCCAGCACAGCAACAAATTCACAATTGACATCACCAACCAAAAGCAAAGGGCAGCAAACAACAAGCTTCACAACAGTTGATCTACTCAAACCCAAATTCTCATAACCTTGCAACTTTAACTCTAACAGCCCACTAGCATATCCAAAAATATATTTTGCCTTTTTATAGAGCTTCCCCATTCTATTCCTTGGCACCCCATAATTACACAAAGAATGGAAATTATCAAGCAACACATGATCATCAGCCAAGAAAATTATGCCATTGGGGAGAAACAAATGCAACTCAGAAGGGCCAATTCCCAAACTCTCGAAAAACGGTTCGAACTCGTTAATTGGGTTGTACCTGAAGAACTTCCGCAACGTTCGGGGAACGTCGTCTTTGTCGTCAATCATTGACACTAATGATTCAACAAAACGAGGTGAGTTCTTGCTAATGTATTCGGCATCGGAGAAGGTGTAGCCGCGCGTTAAATGCAGGTAATCCATTAGAGCGCGTTGAAGTTCGGTCTTCAAGAGGCGAGAGACCCGTTTAAGGGAACGTGACGAGGGAACGGAACTTGGAGGAGGAAGAGCGGTAGCTGGGGTTGGCTCAGAAGCGCGAAAGCATCGAACTTTGAGGGAAATGAAAGATGGGATTTGTTGTGGAAGGGGTTTTGGAAGCATGGCGCGGTGGTAAAGAAAGAAGCCATCTGAACCCAACTGAGAAATCATTTGGAAGAACTATGTCATGAATTGAATTAATAAGGAGGAAGAAGACTGCAACTTTGTATAAAAGCATGAAATTTGGACACATGGAGTGTAGCCTTGGCTTACAAAGAGAGAAAGAGGCAAAAATGTGATTTTTTTTTTCCAAAATAATATTAAAAAAATATTTAATTATCCGAATACAACCTCCAACTTTATTTATCCAAATATATCCTTTCATTTTATTTACCAAAACAAACGGTTTATTGTATTGGGTCAAAATTCGATTTCGACTAACCGAATTCGAAATAAGAATATACACATGGAAACTAGAAATCTATAATTCTCTTCCGAAAACCAAATTCTAAACTGCGTTTTTTTTTTTTACAAGTACTTCGTGTATATATATATATATATATTTGGCTTTTGTAGGAATATTTCTTTCTGAAAATCCTTCTTCACATGGTAATTCTATTTCGAAAGTATTTCTATTCCAAAAAGCAGTAGGAACTTCTACACATACTTCTTTTATTATTTCTTGTTCTATATTTTTAAAGGTTTTTATTACTTCGGGATTTTTTAATTGTTCTTCTATTCTTTTGTATGTTATTTCTTGTTTTAAATAGTTTATATGGGTAGTTTTAGCTTCTATTTTTAGTAGAAAGTTTTCTTCATTTACATCATTTACTAATAGTATTTCTTTATTTTTTATTGGTTTAATAAATTCGAATAAAAGATTTTTATGGCTTATTCCTTGTTACGATACTTCAAAGGGGTAAATTAGTGCTAAAAATGGAGTTCCTAATATCATTTCTTCGCTAATGTCGGGAGTTAATAAAAAAGTATTTTTAAAACAAGTGCCTTTATTACATATACTTGGCGTTTGATAATTTATATTTTACTTTTAGTCTTTCGAGTTAGTCTGTCCTTAAGGTTTGTAGAGTTTTTTCATAGAATTTTGTAGGTATTAACCCTTCTCTTATACAATTTATATCGACTCCAGAATCTACCAAAGCTGTAAATTGTTTATGAAAACTATTTCCAATTTTTAATGTTGCTTTTATATGCCATTTTTGTTGTAAAATTTTTATTTGATTAACCGTTTCAGAGGTTGATTCGATTTTTAAGGGTTCTTTATTATTTATAATTTTTATTTTTTCTTCTTGTATTTCATTTTTTATTTTTAATTCTACTAATTAAAGTTTTATTTCTTTAATTTCTTCTTTTAAAAGGCTTACTTCTTTTTGTAAGTCTTGTATCTTTACAGGTTTTTCTTTATTTATTGCTTTTCGTAATATTTTAGAAAAATCGTAACCACTTACTTCATTTTGTACTGTTTCTGTTTCTTTTTCACTTAATATTAATGTCTTTAATCTGGTTAAATATTCTAACTTATCTTCTTCATTTGAAAGTTTATCTACCATTTCTAGGGCTATTTTAGTTTCGGTAGTTAGAACATTTATTTTGAATATGCAATCACAATTTTCTTCGTCCTCGTTTTCACTCAAATTGGTAGTAGATTCCTCTTCACTGCTGTTAGATTCTATTATATTATTAATATCTTCTTCTGACTCATATAACAATATTTTAGTTATTTGATTTTTAGTTTCTTCACTCATATCTAAATTTTGTATTCTTTCCTTTACTCTACAATCTTTTTTCATATGTCCGTATCTTCCACATTTATAGCAGACTATTCCTTTTTTAGGATTGGATTGATTATTATTTGCTAAGGGGCTTGTTTTTATTTTTCTTTTAAAATTTCTAGGGAAATTCCTATTATTATTCTGGGAGATTTTTCTTTTAATTATTTGTTTTTTCTTATTTTTTCTGGATGGAGGATCTAATCTTTCGTATCCGTATTGTAAGCAAAAATCTCCTAATTCTTTAGTACCACTTTCTTGTTGTCTTTTAACTTGTTTTTCTAATTTTAGATTATTACATATTTCTAAAGCAGTATTTTTAATAGTTGCAATTATTTTTCCATAGGTTATATCTTGTAATGGTTCAGGGTATTTTTGAGCTAATTTTTCTCTTACTTTTATTGCAAATACTGGGGGTAATCCTGCAATGAATCTTTCCTTCCAAAAAGTTTCTTTACAATCTATTCTAGTCATTACCATAGTTATAAAATTATCTACATACCATCTAAAATCTCCTAAAGTGGGACATCTTAGATTATGTAGTAGGGTGCTTGTTTTTTCTTCAAAAGTATTAGAATCGCCCATAAAATTATGTATTATTGAAATTATTAGAGTTTCTACCATTAGCGGTATCTGATGATCTCCTTCTTGTTTTACTGCTGTTAATATAAATCTTCTTTGATCTGCAGATAAATAATTTTCCCACCATCCTTTTAAAGATCCTGTGAATCCTAGGATTAGTAATTGTATAGTTTGTTCTT